ACACAGACAACGTATGTGTCAAACTGTAATGTATTTGATTTACAGCACATCAGATGTTTTTGTGTTTCCACAGGGATTGTTTTGTGACATTACACGAATGATTTACATATTCATGAGCATGATGGCTTCTAGGAAGAGTCTGTTCACATGTATGTTGTTTTGATGTACAGTCAGTGCTCTGTAGCGCCTACCAGAGGAGAGACTTATCCGTATCTGGATGCAGCAGATAATTATAACTAAAGCACACAAAGCATAAAACATAAATCATGGCTAGGAGCAGACCACCTCTTCTTTAGCAGCCAATGAACATCAGAACGTGAATATAAGCTTACAGCTAGAAAAGAATACAGCTGACCCAGCAGCAGCAGCAATGTAAACAGGGAAAAGGAAAAACACATCAAACTACAGAAGCCACAGAATTGGCTGTGTGTAAGACAACAAACATGTTTACATCCCTAAAGCCAATACACATTATTACCAGTGGGCAACCCAAAGACGAAGGCAGCAACTGAGGGGGAAATATACTGCAAATGCACGAAAGCCCATTACCAGCGCTGAAATATAACTAGGTTCATTTACTTAACTGTTGTACTTAAAAGCAAATTTGAGCCACTTGAAAGCTAGTCAGACCTGGAATGACTTCCAACACACATTAAGGGTGCAACATATTAGAGTACAGGATATAAGAAAACCTCTGAGTGCTGGGGTGGTTCAGATTTACTGCCCTGAATGTTTACATAGCTTTTTTTTACTGAGTTTGTTTGTTTGATTCATTGTTTTTTTTGTACCTTGTTTATTATCTTTTATTATCCTGTAACAAAATACAAGTTTATATGACTGGATGTTGTACTATAAATGCCAAAAATGAAGAAAAACATAAATGACAAAACTGAGGTATTTGCAAATAACAAAACTTATTTCCATTAGTCTATTCTAACTTATGCTTTTACTCATTTACAATTTAGAGATAAATGTAATACTTGTTTTTGTTTTGTTTGCAAATCACTAACATTAGCTCCAGCTTGACCAACAACAACATTTATGCCTCAGTAAAAACAATCTGACTTAAGTAAGCTTTTGAATGCAGCACTTTTATTTGTAATTGAGTATTTTATTTTATACTGCGATATTACTGCATGTGCCAAGAAAACACTGAAAACTACAGCAACAACTTGATACCGGTAGCCTCATAGCTCACCAAGCAGAAGCCCGTCATTAAAGCGCAAAGGCGTCCATATTGGCACGAATACAATACGAATATAAATACTTACCGTAGGCCACAACTACTGCCTGGGTTTGAGACTGACAGCTGACATGGGGAGGAACCAAGGAACTGAGTTGGGAACAAAATTGTCTTGAAACAAGTGCTGGCAGGTGAGATAAATGGAGCGGACCGAGCACCGCCAATGTACCTTAACTTAGACCGCTCTTCTCAAAGGGTGCGTTGCATATATGTCACAGCCTGTACCGGAAATTAATAATTCACCTGTACACTGTCTCTACACTTAGCATACATTAAAGATATCATGTAAACGCATAATTGCTTTGTAAGTGCATGTTGTACTGTTAACTTAATATTGCTGTGTGTGTTTTTGTGTGCTTTTGGTAACCTGGTTAAAATTGTAAATACATTAGCATTAAAATATACTCCAAGTGCAAAGTAAAATTATGCACAATTGCCCATGAATTAATCATATATTTTTGGATTATAACTATGGATGCATCAAGCATTACTTTAATGTTGCAACTATTAAACGTGGGACTTATTGAATCTGCTATATTCTGCTGGGTAGCTTCATATATAGGCCTACATTTACATGAGAATTAATTAGTTGATTATTTATTGTATTAATCTGAAAACGCAAAGTAACTAGTGTCTGAAGCTGTCAAATAAATAAAAAAAGTACAGTGTTTGCCTCCCAAATGTAGTGAAGCTTAAAACACAATAACAAGTACCTTTAAATTTTACTTAATTGCAGTACTTGAGTAAATGTAGTTAATCTCCACCACTACCAGTGTCTAGCTCAATGCTGATCAATATGGTTGTTCATATGTTAAACCTCAACCAGACAATAAACAGAAAGAACAAAGCAAAATGGAATTTACATGTTACACGTGGAAATACATTTAATAGTGTCCTTCTATCTAATATAATACAATGGTGACTGCGTTTGTTGTCAAAGCTTTATTCATACTAAACAATCTAATCTTGTTCTTTTCTCACATACAGCAGATATCTTTCTTCAACTACAAGACTACGGATTCAGTTGTGTTATGAAATCAAAGAGTTCTTGGCCTCAGCGTTAGTCCACTGCCAATCAACTGGATAAATCCTGTGTTTCCATGGCGATGTGAAAGGCTAGGGATGACTTGTCTTTATAAAAAGGTGCAGTCACTGTTGAACTCCTGTGCTGTGTGTGGGTGGATGGACAGGATTTAAAATACCAGCCCAGCCACAGGCACACTGCTGAGCACCTTCTGTGACTTCCGCAGGCCAAGAAATGCAAACGATCATTAATGTTATACACGCACGCATTGAGCTGCAGTGAACCACAGGACTACATATTTATATTGACACTGATAAACTAAGTTAACACATGGAAGCATGAATCAACAACAGCCTTTTTTTTGTTGTTTATTGTTGCTCAATGGTAAAACTGATGCTGGAGGATGCATATATTACTACTTCTTCACCTACTCCCTCTGACCCTTTACAATTCAATACCAATATCTTTTGATTGATCGTCAAATGTTGGCCGTTGACACAGCTGATCCCGTGGGATGAAGGTAATCATTGGTGAAAGAAGCACATAGATCCTTTACTTAAGTCAAAGGAGCATTATAAGAATGTAAAGGTAGCCCAATACAAGTAAAGGTGCATTAATAATCTTATTACAAGTACAGAAGTACAATAAAATGTAGTTAAAGTCCTGGTTCTGAAGACATTATTAGATTGTTGATAATGATTAATGAGCAGCCATTGATGAGAAGTTTTTTTGATGGAACTACTAACAACTCATAGACGTCTGAAACAGCTTTTTTTGCGAGGGGTTAGCGGAAGGGTTACGATTGAGAAATTCTGGTTTAATATTTAATAATGCAATGAGTTTTGCAGGTTTATCTAATGTTCTTAATATAAAATCTAAAACTGAAAAGTAACCACTCACTAAATCTGCCAAACAAATGGTGCCTAAACCTTAAAACTGTACTTGAGTAAATGCACTTGGTTTTTTTTACCACCACAGGAGCTCATGGAGTAACAACGGTGCAAAGAGGGATGCTGAAAAGCCGACATCAGGGTGGGGTGCAAAGTGGGTTAATGTGCTGTGAAACTACAGAGTGTGATGTGACACACTAAGGTGAGATTTAGTGGATCCACAGAAAGCACATGCCAAAGGTCAAGTGTAGCATAGTGTGTGTGATTCAACATATCCTACTAGAATTATTTCAGCTTTATTTGTTAGTCAGGGCGTGTGAGAGACTGAGGTCGATCAGGTCTGGAAAGGATAGGCCGAACCACTGCAAGTGATTCCGACCCAAAGCACTGTGAGAAGAGTATAATCACCTGAACTCAACCTCAGTTACAAAGCAGGAGCTTTTCAAATGAAAATATAACCAGATCAGGTGAGCAAGCATCTTGTAACTCCAACCAGCAGCTACTGCAAAATGAGAGATGCTGTGTGTCTACAAGGATGTGATCGTAGGCTATGCTCGCTTCAATTAAAGAGCATTAGCTAAATAAAAGTAAAGCTTCAACCCCATCCCTCTGCTTCCTAGCGTGAGTGCTCCTGTATCACAGTCCATGTCTTGTCTCCTGCTCCCGCTTCTCCATGTCTACTCAGTCTCTATAAATACATAAGGTGCTGTTTCCAAGGTAACAACTCTATGGAGAATTGGCCACCTGAAATCTAGATGGAGTGGAAAAGGATGATGAACAGTGGTCTGCAGGCTATTTGATTGTCAGGAAAAGGCCCTCATATTAACCACGTCACCACTTCTATTGTCCTCTGTCTCATGGGACTGTCTTAATTAATCCAATACATCATCCTACAAGCTATAGATCTGTGAGAGAGAAGAGTGCCAAAGAATGACTCCTATTACAGTCAGGATGCATTTGGAGTTTGATCTGCAGCTAGATGGATTATTTGTTTATGTTATCATCTAACTCTCCAAAGCAGGAGATCTCTCATTTAGCGCATTGAAGCCATGGAGAATTAGTACATTTGAACGTCAGACATGTTGCCAAACTTAATATATTTTATTTATAATATAAAATGATATATATATTATTTTCATTATTAGTGTGAATATGAATATTAAACAAAACAACAATAACATCCATATTGATAATAATTGTATCAATAAAGGGCTGTTTTAATAATGATAATGCCTGCTTAAGATTGTGATGATAGTACACCAACCCTTTCGGTCAATACTTTTTCTTTTTTGGTTGATTTATTTTTAAAATATGCTGTTAGTGTTGTCTCCTCTTCTATTCACCTGAGTGTATTTACAATCATAAGTGTTTACTGCCCTCCAGTGGTCACAATGAGAAACAGCAACACTACATTAAATGTGTTACACAAAAGTCTTAAGATAAATATAGTTTGTATGTATATGTCCTTATTAATGTGTTTAACAGTCACATCAGTATTCCTAATGATTAAATTAATAACCTGCTGAACATACTACTGCAGACATGATGGCATATTGACACCTACCCTGAATACTTTCAAAATAAATGTTGATTTACTTACTTTTAAAATGATTTTCCAATTTCTTTTCAGTGATACATTATTTTTCAAACATCTCAAGCCCATACACTTTTTAGAGATCAACCAGATATACACTTTTATTATGTACATTTAATTTAAATAAGACTTTGGCTGTACTATCAACTATAGAGGAATATAAATTATATTCATCACTGTGTGGCATTCATTTCTGAAAACCTTCCAACCTTTTTGAAGTTATTCCAATGAAGATGCCAGTACAGGAGATGTACAATAGAGATCTCTTTATTATAGTGCATTTATCAGATGTTACAAGATGAGTTTAAAAAAGCGTAAAAGGTAAATAAGAAATACATATGCACATACCTTGTCATTTTTACAGAAACGATCTTGAAAATTAAAGCTTCACATCTGAACAAGGGTAGGTGGATGACGTCAAGTTAAAATACATTTTCTTGTAGAATATTATATACATTTGTATTTCTTGCTGTATACCAGATCAAGTCACTTATCCTATGAACTCTACAATGTTTAGGGAATACCATAATGTACAGACAAATAAAGCCCAAAAGGAGAGTCGATCAATTACTCAAACTTTTTCAAGAAAAAACACCTAAATGTCCAGTTGTACAAACACAAAAGGAAAAATGAATTTTCCTTTAGAGGTCAGCGGAATATTATGACCTTAGAGTCATCTTCACTTAGTAAGGGATGTACAGAGCTCAAGATTGGTTTCTTATTGTTTGCAGGAGCCTTTTGGATCAATGCATGTGTGGGAAACTTCTATAACTGGGTGAACTGGTGCAACACTCTTGGTTGCACATTTTAACTGTCTGCTGGTGTAGAGCAATGGGAAGGGTTACCGTCTATGGGTTCATTGCAAAGGGCGGATGGATAAATCGCTGTCTTTACACAGGCCTGTGTTGTGCAAGCTGATGAGGTTGTGCAAATGGCATCAGAGGGACATAATGCCAATAACTCCAGGGGGAAGCGCCCTGGCTACATGCAGGAAAAACACCATAAAGCCTGAAGCATTGAGGAAGCATTTACAGTGCTGCTTCATACAGTAGGCCAGAGCAAACGCTTCCATTCCGACTGTACCGTCTATCACAGCGCTGACAACTTGTTCAAGAGCATGTGTCCTCTGGAAAACACAGGAGGGGTGACCTAGCACTCTGCAGGCAGATCCAAAACTGAACCGAACACAATGAGCCCTTTCTGTATCCAACCAATTGGTCCCGAAAGCATTTTACTCAAAGACTGCACACCTGGCACGTCAGCTCATGCTTAAGTAAACCAGGTCATGCGTGCATCCATAGTAATGTAAAAAACAAATAACAGACCCTAACCAAAAGAATTACATACAAGAGAAAATAAGACTACCAGTACTTAAAAAGCCAGAGTGGGAGCAACTCTAAAAAGGCCTCACCTTTCCAGTGGACTGGATGCACCGTGCAGTACCCACACTCAAACACCTCCACGTAAACACCAAAACATGTATTGCCTTTTCTAGGCTTAGTCATGACAGATCTTTGAATCTTCTATGTGTAACAAACAAGTCCCATTCAAATAAATATCAGGGTCATAACCATGAGAAGTATAACTTAGGGAGTCGGGACTGAATTGAATTTAAATTAAAATTGTTCAACACACGGGGAAACTTATCTACAGGGTTAGATGGTGACTAAGACTATACCTGACCGTTAACAGGAGCTACAGTACACAGGATTCACACTAAGAAAAGACTTGAAAGAACCATTAAGTATCCAGTGTTTACTGAAGAAGTGGAAACTCAAATCCAAGTTTTCAAAAGAATGTAAACTGATTTGAGATGTTTGGTATTTTATTGTTATGAAACAGGACACGGGTTACACTGTGGTATACTGTGTGGATAGATGTGGTATTTTTAGCGTTTGTTTTTTTACAAACATTCTTGACAGATTCACAGGACTCAAGATCCTGTGTCACGCTTTGCTTTGTGGAGACCAGTGCCTTCTGAAGTGCTCACACTGGAGGGATGAGGTGCTTGAGAGTTAACTGTGTTCAAGGCACAGCAGGGCTGCTCCCACTCAGCTCACACACGCTTTCATTCATCCAAAAATATTCATCCGAACACACACGTACAGTACACACATGCAGGAGAGCACTGGCCTAAGGTCCAACGTTTCAGATGAAAGAGAGAAAAGGGGAGGAGAGAATGAGCCCGGGACCAGTGCAGTCTCCCATCACACTGCAGACAGATGACAGACTGGAGGTGGACTGATGGATCATTTCGCATTCTTTAGCTGGTTTGAAAGCCAGTCGAGACCCTCGTAGAGACCATCTCCACTAGTGGCGCATGTGGCCTGGATGTACCAGCTACGTTGGCGCAGGCTGTGCAAGCCCAGCGTTTCTGTGAGCTCAGCTGCGTTCATGGCGTTGGGCAGATCCTGAAAGAGCAGAAAAAACAGAAATGAGTAACTAACATTCCCCCGATATCTGGCTGATAGCAAAGATGCTGACTTTCATTTTTGATCATAAGCAATGTAATCACGCGTTACTTAGGATCAAATCAAACGCACGTGCTCAGCTGTCCATATTAATGACAGTGGTACTGCACTCTGAGACTGGGGGCACCAAACCTTACATAGTGTTGCTTCAAAGACTCAAACTCACCTGTTTGTTGGCAAACACAAGTAGCACAGCCTCCCTCAGCTCATCCTCAGAAAGCATGCGCATCAGCTCATCCTTCGCCTCGCCAACTCGCTCCTTGTCATTACTGTCTACTACAAAGATAAGGCCTGAAAATGGAAGAGAGGGCAGGTTCGTATAAAGGAAGAGGTCTCCACACGTAATGGAGGATTCTGCCGACAGTGGGCTTGTACAACAGACTTTAACCGATCTATAAATACATCAGGAAGTCTCTCACCTTGTGTGTTTTGGAAGTAATGCCTCCAGAGTGGCCTGATCTTGTCCTGACCGCCGACATCCCACACCGTAAAACTGATGTTCTTGTATTCTACCGTCTCAACATTAAAACCTGAGGACGAAGGACAAAACAGAGAAACAGACGGAAGATTAACAAGGTTTGAGTCGTCACACTGCAGGGTCTTCTTACCAATGGCAGGGTATCGTGCGTGAGGATGCAGGAAAGGACTCACCGATGGTAGGGATGGTGGTAACAATTTCTCCTAGCTTGAGCTTGTACAGGATGGTGGTCTTTCCAGCAGCGTCCAGTCCTACCATCAAGATCCTCATTTCTTTCTTGCCAAACAATTTACTAAACAGGCTAGTAAAATTCCCCATCTTTGCTCACCTGCAGAAGGACAGAAACATTGAGTGCTTGGGTCTCTACAGATGTGGCTACCACACTATAAACAGTAACAGAGACATTATCAGAGTGTCAGCGTTCCACCTTTAGACGCCTGTGACTTCAGCCACCTAAATACTGGAGCTCATGATTCAAAAATATTACGTTTCGAAGTTCAAATTCTCGACATGAATCCAAGTTGCCCGCGGTCTGCTGGAGGGAAGACGTATCACTGTATCGTAGCGGATACCATTTGTTTGAATTGGAGGTGGTGAAGTCATGCTGGTTGAGCCACAGAGTTGAACCTGCACCACCCCGTGTGTCTGAAAGGTGTTTTACCTGTACGGTCAGGTTCAACCACACAGACCATGAGCAACAAGTATGAGTCCACACAGCCTTTGCTTGAGAGAGAAATCTCTGATTCAAGTTCCCCAACAGACGTTTATTAATCATTTACTCTAGAAAATGTCAAAAAAGCTGTCACAACATTTTAAATGCCGACATGTGAGAAAAGATCAAATATTTAACGTACAAAGATATGAAACAGAGAAATGAGTGTATAAATGAGTGTATTTCTTTGAGAAACTACAGATTATCTTAATTATCAGTCAATTCTTTTCAGATCACAAGTGGAAAAGCTCCGTCAGAATTTCCTTTAGCCCAAAGGGACGTCTTGTTTTGTCCAAAAAACAAAATTTAAGACATTTATGAACCTGGAACATCAAACGTTTGCCAATTCATTTTCTGTGATTCCAGCTCTAAATGAGCAGATCGGGTGAATCCCGACAGAAAACAAACGTACAGCGGATTCTGCATCCTTAATGGGAAGTTTAGCTCCCTGACAGGAAACTAGGAAAATAAAACAGGAAATAAACAAACAGTCTGTGAATTCCAGAGGTTGTTCAGCGACTGTAAATCAACTGTCCTCAACATACCAACCGATTACACTCCAGCAGTTAAAGGCTTTTAAACGTGCCGCAGCTTGTTGGGCTCAGCTGTTTGCTGAACGTACAGACACACCAGAGATAAGCAGGAAATAAAAGTCCACAGTGAGTTAGTAAGATGACACAACGTCTTCTGAACAACGGGATCTTTTGTCATGGAAGACGTTTATATCACTGCCTTGTGTGCGACACGTTTCTGCCGGTATGGTTGTCGGCTGACGAAAGACCTGCTGTTTACCACCAGTGTGTCGGAGAGTGAAAAGCTCTCTGGATATTCAGAAATATTGACATTACGTCACACTGTCTACTGTAGGGCCGCAATTATTTCCATTAACAGATACAATTATTGACACGAGGAGAGCAACAGATCACAAAACTCACGGTTTGGATACTACACACACACACACACAC